CCACGAAGTTTCAATCGCACTGTACGTGCGCGCCCACACGTGGTATTTTGTGGAAGAGCTACACTGAAGTGGCCAAAGAGCCGCATGTGGTTCGCGAGCCGCGGTTTGCCGACCACGGTTAAGTCAGTGGATGAACTCATTAATGTCAAGGGAGATTCTGTGTGTGGGGAAGATTATCCACAATTAATTATAAGGTCCTATTCATTCCCCTTTCACATTTATTGGGCAATTGACATTCTTTTACCATTAACCAACACTCTTTTTTTAAAAAAATATATTTTATTGATTTTTTACAGAGAGGAAGGGAGAGGGATAGAGAGTTAGAAACATCGATGAGAGAGAAACATCAATCAGCTGCCTCCTGCACGCCCCCTACTGGGGATGTGCCCGCAGCCAAGGTACATGCCCTTGACCAGAATCAAACCTGGGACCCTTGAGTCCACAGGCTAACGCTCTATCCACTGAGCCAAGCCAGTTAGGGCTAACCAACACTCCTAAATATTTATATTGTTTGCATAACTAATAAAGTAAAACTTATTAATTTAGAACATTAGTTGTTCCTAAATATTTAACTGCAAACTTATTTAATCAAAATTTAATCTGAATATTTAATTAAAATGAAAAGTTTAAAAAAATAAAAATCAATGGAAAAAATATCCTCGGGTGAGGATTAACCAAAAAATAAATAATAATAAAAAAATAAAAATAAAAAAGCCTCTCTTGGCACGCCACTCTTTCAGTGCTGGTGACCCCCACTGGGTGGGGCCTCCTCCCAGGCTCTGACCGGCCAAATGTCAGATCCCTGCACTTCCAGAACGAGGGGCAGGGGCGCTGATTTCCAGCCCAGAGCCTTCCCCTTTGCCTCAAGTCACTGCAGGGTCAGGTAGAACCAGCCATCCCACAGGGCGTGGAAAGGCCTCCCCTGCTCTTGAGGTGGGCCTCACTGTTCAGTCCCCAGCTGGCTCTTTACGAAAGTTCCCCTAGAGCAGTGGTTCTCAACCTTCCTAACGCCGCGACTCTGTAGTTCCTCATGTTGTGGTGACCTCCAATCATAAAATTATTTTCGTTGCTACTTCATCACTGTAATTTTGCTACTGTTATGAATCGTAATGTAAATATCTGATATGCAGGATGTATTTTCATTGTCACAAATTAACATAATTAAAGCATAGTGATTAATCACAAAAACAATATGTAATTATATGTGTGTTTTCCGATGGTCTTAGGCGACCCCCTCCAAAGGGGTCGCGACCCACAGGTTGAGAACCGCTGCTCTAGAGAGTAAAGGGTCCCTTACAATCACTGATCAGAGTACCTGTATGACCCCTCCACTGACCTGAGGTCCAATGGGTGGCGCCCTCCCACAGAATCAGATCGGGGCTAACTTCCCAGGTGGGATGCTGGTGGGTTGCTTGCCATGCTCCTCCCAATGAGTCTCAGCCTTAGACTCCTGCGGCTTTGCTCACCACACCCCCTCTCCCCGCCTGCAATCAGCTCCTGGCTTAGTGGCCTAGCCACAGTTTACTCTCTTTCCATCCAATCTGCAGTCCCAGCAGGACCCAGGGCTGGGCAGTCAACTGCCCCCTCTGTGACTAACTGCAGCTCCTGGACCCCTGGCTGCAAGGCTCTTCAATCTGTAGGCTGATGCTCTGACCACTGAACCACCGGCTAGGGCTCAAGCACCATTATTAATCTCACTTCTGCTAGTTGTGCAATTGGAAGCTATAACCTCAAGGTTTAATTGAGGCCAAGGCTGTAAGAACACAATGGCTGAGGGGCTGCCCCCCCCCCCGCCCAAGTGCACAAATTTTTATGCACCAGGCCTCTAGTTTATACATAACATTTCTCAATATTTCTTTTTCACTAACCTTCTACAACTCCTATTGTTCTTCTTAATTTGTCTCCTTTTACTAATTCAGAAATAATCAAATTATTAGAACAAATTATTTCCTTTTAACTTCTCTTAAAAACACACACATCCCTTTCCTTCCTTTTGCAATAACATTCCTTCTATATTTCAAAAGAGAAGCCATAAAAAATGCATTATTGATAATGCAAAAGTTATTGTAAACACCTTTAGCAATTATTAACAGTTGTGCTATATACACAAGGTTTAAGAAAAACCCAAAGAACAAGTATAATTATTATGACTAATATTATTAGCATTAGCAGACAAAGAAAATTGAACAAAAATTTTATTGTATTTGTGTGTTTCTGGCTCTTTTGTAAAAAAACAATCTGCCCATCTACATGGGATTTTTTTTATCTGGGCTCTCAATTCTGTTCTATTGATTTGTGTGTCTGTTTTTCTGCTTATATCATGCTGTTTTGATTATTATAGTCTGTGGTATAATTTGAAGTCAGGTAGTGATACCTCTGGCTTAATTCTTTTTTCTCAGGATTGCTTTGACTATTTGTAGCCTTTTGTGGTTTCATACAAACTTCAGGATTTTTTCTATTTTTTAGAAAATGACATAGGGGCAGGTGCAGAGAGTGAGCCAAGATGGCGGCACCCGTGGATCTGGAGTTGAAGAAGGCCTTCACAGAGCTTCAAGCTAAAGTTATTGACACTCAACAGAAGGTGAAGCTTGCAGACATACAGATTGAACAGCTAGACAGAACGAAAAAGCATACCCATCTTACAGATACAGAGATTATGACTTTGGTAGACGAGACTAACATGTATGAAGGTGTAGGAAGAATGTTTATTCTTCAGTCCAAGGAGGTAATTCACAATCAGCTGTTAGAGAAACAGAAAATAGCAGAGGAAAAAATTAAAGAATTGGAACAGAAAAAATCCTACCTGGAGCGCAGCTTGAAGGAAGCTGAGGACAACATCTGGGAGATGCTGATGGCACGAAGGGCACAGTAGGAAGCCTCTAGGGAAGCTTTCCCTCCTGACCCCTCCCATTCCTGGCAAGGACAAGGGGCTTGTGTAGGGAAATAGCGTCTGCTGTACCTGATGGACGTTTTATCTGGATGGCCTGGTAACCCTATGTTTTCTACATCACCCTGAGCCCCTTTCAAATCCCAAGCCCTTATTTTTTATCCTGGCTCTGCCTGCCATCTCTGCCTAATACACTCTTCTCCCCTGGGGGTGACTCCTGAACTCCCAGGAGAGGGGAGATGGGAGCCAGGACAGGTAGGGGAGCTCTGCCCATGCCCGCTACTAGTCATGCTGGTCAGACCAATAAAAGGCATCTGTGCCACTCTTCTAAGTTTGCTTTTCTTGATCTGATGGATGAGAACAGAGAGGCAGAGGCTATCTCTACCTGAGCTCCTCCCTGTCCCTCTCTAGGGCTGGGGCCCTGCTCCTTCTGCATCGAAGTCTTCCCCACTTCTTTTTTCCTCTCTGATCCTTCAAGTAAACCCTTCAAGCTCACAGCCTCCATGGAATGTGCAAGTAGGAAAGAAAGGAGACCAGGGCATAGCTGAATTTTAAGTGAGGACAGCAGTCCTTGGTGGCAGTATGCCTAAAGATTCCTTTCCTGCTTTTCCCCAAACATCCCATTTAAGCCAGCAGCACCTCCAAGACTGTCTCCCTTCGGTTATAAGGTGGACACTATAATTCTGAGGCTCCTAGAGGCTCAGGGGCAGTGTTGTGTTGGAGCTGACTTATACTGGCTCAGGAGAGCCAGTTATTCAATTTTCAGGAATTTTGTTGCAAGCCAGTTGTTAAACGCAGCCATTATTAAAAATTAAATTATGTAACTTTACAATTAAATTATTAAAGAACAAGGGTAATAAATATTCAAAACATCTCTCTAATAACTAAAAAAAATGACATAGGGATTTTGATGGGGACTGCATTAAATCTATATATTGCTTTGGGTAATATAGCCATTTTAACCATGTTGATTCTTAAAATCCATGAACACAGGATATTTTCCCACTTTGTTGTCTTTTTCAGTCTCTCTTAATAATGCTTTGTAGTTTTCAGTATCCCCATCTTTGACATTGTTTGTTTAGTTTCTTCCTAGCTATTTTATTCTTTTAGTTACAATTGTAAAAGCCATTGTTGTTGTTTTTTCCATTTCTTTCTCTGAAGTTTTGTTGTTAGTATAGTGGAAGGCAGTGGGCTTTTGTGCATTGGTTTTCTATTCTGTAACTTTATTGTATTTATTTTTTCTAATAGTTTTTTTGTGGAGTCTTCAGGTTTACTTTTTTATGTACAGAATCATGGCATCGGCAGTGACACTTTTACTTCTTCCTTCCTGATTTGGATGCATTTGATTTCTTTCTCTTGCTTTATTGCTCTGGCTAGCATTCCCTGAACTATATTGAATAAAAGTGGTGAGACTAGGCATTCTTGTCTTGTTCCTGATTTTAAAGGAAAAGCTTTCAGTTTTTTCCATTCAGTATAATATTGACAGGGTTTGTTATCTATCACCTTTATTATATTGGGGCATTTTCCTTCTATTCCTATTTTATTAGAGTGTTTTAATCACAAATGGGTGTTGTGTCTTACCAAAAAGTTTTTTCTGCATCTATTGATAAGATCATGTGATTTTATCCTTTCTTTTGTTAATATGGTATATTACATTGATTGATTTGCATGTTGAGCCATCATTGTGCCCCTGGAATGAACCCCACTTGATCATGATGTATTATTTTTTGTATGTACTGTTGTATTCTATTTGCTAGTATTTTGTTTAGGATTCTTGCATCTGTATTCATCAGAGATGTTGATCTGTAGTTTTCTTTTTAAAAAAATATATTTTTATTGATTTTGGAGAGGAAGGGAAAGGAAGAGAGAGCCAGAAACATCAATGATGAAAGAGACTTATTGATCTGTTGCCTCCTGCATGCCCCACACTGGTGATCCAGCCTGCAACCCGGGCATGTGCCTTGACTGGCAATGGAACTGTGACCTCCTGGTTCATAGGTTCTTGCTCAACTACTGAACCACGCCAGCCAGGCTGTAGTTTTCTTTTTTTGTGTTATCCTTGCCAGATTTTGGTATCAGGGTTATGTTTGTCTCATAAAATGTATTAGGAAGTACTGCCTCTTCTTTAATTTTTTTTTTTAACGTGTTTCAGAATGATGGGTTTTAAATCTTCTTTGAGTGTTTGGTGTAGTTCACTGGTGAAGCCATCTAGTCCTAGACTTTTGCGGGAAGGAGGTTTTTGGTGGCTGTTCCAATTTCCTCTCTGCTGATCAGTCTATTTAGATTTTTCAATTCTTCATTATTTAGTCTAGGAAGGGTATATATTCCTTGGAACATATCCATTTCTCTTCCAGGTTATTGAATTTGGTGGCATATAGTCCTTCATAGTATTCTAGTACGATCCTTTGTATATCTGTGATGTCTGTGGTGACTTCTCTTTCATTTCTGATTTTGTTTATATGGGTTTCCCTTTTTTCCTTAGTGAATCTAGCCAAGGGTTTGTCAACTTTACTAATCTTTTCAAAGAACCAGCTCTTTGTTGTATTAATTTTTTGTACAGTCTTTTTGTTCTTTATTTCATTCAATTCTGCTCCAATTTTTGAAAAATATATTTTTACTAATTTCAGAGAGGAAGGGAGAGGGAGAGATAGAAACATCAATTCTGAGAATCATTGATTGGGTGCCTCCTGCATGCCCCACACTGGGGATCGAGCCTGCAACTCAGGCATATACCCTTAACAGGAATTGAACGTGGGACCCTTCAGTCTACAAGCCGATGCTCTATCCACTGAGCCAAACTGGCTAAGGCTCTTTTCTTTTTCTAAATCCATTTCAGTTTTCTATAACCTTTCTTAGTGTGACCTGGCTTTCTATAATAAAAACAGACTCCTCTACAGGAGTTTCCCAGCTGAAGTGTGCTGCTTATGGGTTGCAAACCAAAAAAAAAAAAAAAAAAAAAAAAAAAAAACGATGTTTTTAAAAAAAAAAAAAAAAAAAAAAAAAAAAAAAAGCTGATGTTTGTAACAACAAAAAGACCAATTCTAGTGTTTAGGCATAAAGGAAATTGTGTGTGCAAATCACTTATTTGATGAGAAATAGAATATTTACATAGCCCCAGATTATCTCCCCACAAGACACTTAAAACTACAAAAGAAAAAATAGTAAATAGTAATTTAAAATTAAGAAACCTGCCCGGCCAGTGTGGCTCAGTAGTTGAGAACTGAACCATGTACCAAGAGGTCCTGGGTTCAATTCCTGTTCAGGAAACATGCCCACGTTTTGGGCTTGATTCCCAGTTCAGGGTGTGCAGGAGGCAGCCGATCAATGTGTTTCTCTCATCAATGTGTCTCTCTATCCCTCTCCTTTCCTTTCTCTAGAATCAATAAAAATATTTTAAGCCCTGACGGGCTCTTGCTTCTGGTGCCAAGCACCCTCTCCCCCCCACCCCCACCCAAAAACAAAACAACACAAAACAAAAAACCAAAACAAACAAGAACCCTGACAAATACCACTTAACTCAGATGATCAAGGTTAAACTTCCCAGTAAAAGTTCAGGTGTACTGACCCTCCTGATATAGTGATGCACGGAGGACACATCACTTCTGTGGTGTTCTTGCCAAAAACAGATATCCAGAACCTAATCATAGAGACATCAGACAAATCTAAATCAGGGACAGTTCACAAAAACCTACTGGCCTTTAAAAATGTTAAGGTCATGAAAAGATGAGAAAAGACTGAGGAATGTTCCAGATTGAAGGAGAATAAGGACATGAAAACTAAATGCAACCTGTGATCCTGAAACAGAAAAATATGTATTTTTATTTTTGCTAAAGAACATTATTGGTACAATTGAATGTACATTGAATTTTTTTATTATGTGATGAACTTGTTATGGTTGTGTGTTGTTTTTAGGATATACAGTTTTTAGGAAGTACTTAGCAGTAATGGGGCATCTTAACTTACTCTCAAATGATTAAAAAAACATTTTAGAAAATGTTAACATTAAAGGAATTTGAGTGACGGGGATTTATACTATTACAACTTTTCTTGTAAGTTTAAAATTTATTTCAAAAAGTTTAAAAATTGAATAACAGTGGTATTTTAAGAAATTGCCTTAGATTTGATAAGTAACAGGACTGTCTTTAAGTTAGTATTTCCTAACCTGTGTGCTAAGGGTTATTAAATTCTCCATTTCTTCATTCTAGATAATTTTTTACTCCTCTGCATGAAGTTGGTTACATTTATGATGGATGCTGGAAGAATGGCACATGGATATTTATATAAATCAAATAAAGTCACTCTAATTAGCAACTCTGAGTATCTTTCAGGGTCAGTGTCAGAGAGAAAAGTTCAAATGGAATTACATTACAGTGTTTTAAAAACTATATTCATAGGAATTAAGCTGAAATTATATTGTCCTACCTATTCTCTTTGTTAATAGTAACAACATTGAGCACTTATCAATAAGCATTGCATGCTGCCCTAGCCGGCTTGGCTCAGTGGATAGAGTATTAGCCTGCAGACTGAAGGGTCCCAGGTTTGATTCTGGCCAAGGGCACATGCCTGGGTTGCAGGCTCGATCCCCAGTAGGGGGTGTGCAGGAGGCAGCCAATCAATGATCCTTTCATAATTGATATTTCTATCTCTCTTTCTCCCTTCCTCTCTGAAATTAATCAATAAATTTTTTTAAAAAAGCATTGCATGCTGAGAATTAATGGTGAGCCATGATTTGAACCTGGGCAGCCCACACCTATGCTCTTCACAACATATGCCACCTTGTACAAGTGGGGAAGATGCTCTAGTCCAGTGGTCAGCAAACTGGGGCTCGAGAGCCATATGCGGCTCTTTGGCCCCTTGAGTGAGGTTCTTTCACAAAATACCACGTGTGGGCGCGCACGTAGTGCGATTGAAACTTCGTGGCCCATGCGCAGAAGTCGGTTTTCGGCCTGGGCGAGTCTATTTTGAAGTACTGTTGATATTCGGCTCTGTTGACTGAGTTTGCTGACCACTGCTCTAGTCCAAGGCAGCGGTTTTTGTTTTTTCTTTAAATCTATACTGTTGAGTATTATAGATGTGAATAAAACTTTTTTCATGTCTGAAAACCATGTGGTCGCAAGAACACAGTTCAACAAATTAAGACCTCTACTCAATGGAACATTTACAAAATACCCACCATGTAACAAGTACCAGGGAACCTTCTTTGCATGATTTTGGAAGTATAAACAGTGTGTCCAAAAGAATGAACAGTTTAAAACCTGAGTTGTAGCCTGAGCACAGCATGGTTATTCTAAAGTCAGAAGACACAACTGGTTTAATTTCAGCTTTCTCTCT